TCCTGGGCAGCGAGACTCATCTCCACAATAAATCAAAAAAATCAGCCGGGCATGGTAGCACATGCCTGTAATTCCGGCTACTTGGAAGGCTGAGGCGGAAGGATCGCAGGAGCCCAGCAGGTTGAGGCTGCGGTGGCTGGGAGCGGCCACTGCACTCCAGTCTGGGCGACAGAGTGAGACTCCAACTCAAAAAAAAAAAAAAAAAAAAGACATTCTTCCTCACCTCACATTGCCTGTTATCAAGGCATTCAGATCCTGCCCCATCCTTGCCCGTTACAGTTCTAAGTTTGCCCCTCTCTCTGTGGTCCCCGTTCCCCATTAGGAAGAAACCAGAACCCCTGCTTTTTCTCCTGCAGGACCCGGGACCCAGCCGTGGGAGCAGCAGAAGTGGGTGGGCACAAACAGCAGGACTGGCTGGGTGTCAGGATTTTAGATGCAGAGGCAGGAAGCACCCCCTACCCTGAGCCGTTGCAGTATGCTCACCCTGATTCAGGCCTGCTAAGCCCAGACTCAGACCCTCCTGGGGGCAGCTAAAGGGTTAAGGCTCTGGAATCTGCACGGGAGGCCTGAGATACTGGGGTTACAGCAAGAGGGTGTGTGTGTTGGAGGGAGGGATGGAAAGGAGCAGCTGACTGGTCCAGGCAGCCTGCCCTCCTCCCTGCCAGGGACGGATGCCCAGAGCTAGAATGGAAAGAATAGCTCAGAGAGCGCATCTCAGGAAACCACACCCAGCAGGCACAGCCAATGTGCCCAGGTCTCTTTGATAGTTCCTTCCCTCCCTTTCCCTTTACCTACCCCACCTTCCCCTCAAGAAAACACTTTACCCTCCTACCCCAGCACAGCCACCAGGGAGAGGAGTAAAAAGATACACCCAGGAGTGTCTGGGCAAGTCACCAGGCCGGATTCTAAACCAAGGGAGCCCAGAATCAACTTAATATCCTTCCATCAGCCTGGTCGCTGGGATAAAGGGGGAGAAGCCAAAGGGGATCTAAAAACTGAAGTAAAAGCTGGAGTGGACTTTGGAATCATCTGGTCACTTGACAGACTAGGAAACCCCCGCAGCCAAGAAAGTTCCTGCTCCACTCCACTGGCCTTCTTGGTCATGGGTTAGAACTTCCTTTCCCAACCACGCCCACTGTTTGAGAACTCCGAGTGGCAGACACAGGCACACACACCCCTAAGGAGGAGTCAGAACACATCACCACTCCCCCAGTTCTCTGGTGATCTCCGGGTTCAGTAGATAAGACTGTCAGCCCATGACTTCCTGCCCCAGCTCGCGGCCACCCTTTCAAGCTCCCTCTCTAGCCAGGGCGGCCTCTCTCCAGATGAACAAAGACCAAAGGGCTCTGGCTCCAGCCTCTCCAAGCTCCTAGGAAGGAGAGGCTGCCCTGGGGAGCAGGGCAGGACCAGGCACCGCAGCTCCCCAGGCACCCTTGTGTCTGGGGGCAGAATCTGTCATCAGGGCGGTAATTTCAGAGACCCCACCCAAGTCAGGATGGCCTGGGAGTGCAGATAGGAGAAGAGGACGCCTCTAATGCGCTGATGCCACTTCTCAACACAGTCCTCTTCCACCTCCTTCTTATGTTCCACCTTCTCTTGTCTTTTAGGTTGAAATTCAAGATTAGGAGGAGACAGGCAGACAAATGAGGCAGACAATTAACCCACAATAGAGAAATAGACAGGGAAGGAAAGAAACAACTTAGAGTAGTAAGCAACGAAGTACTTACTAAGCAACTTAGTACTTACTAAGCAACTAAGTAAGTAGAGGTTGAATTTCCCTAACTTGCAAATCCAAAATGCTCCAAAATCTGAAACTTTCTGAGAACCAGCATGACTCGCAAAGGAAATGCTCATTGGAGCATTTTGGACCTCGGATTTTCAGATCAGTGATGCTCAATCGGTAAGTATAGCGCCAATAACCCAAAATCCAAAGAAATTCCAAAACCCAGAACACTTCTGGGGATGAGCATTTTGGAAAAGGGATATTCAACTGGTAGTAACTGACCCTCACAACAGCCCTTTGAGGTATACATATTCTTACCCCCACTCTATGGATGAGAAAATGGAAATTCAGAGAAAAACAGATCTAATGCCGGATGCGGTGGCTCATGCCTGTAATCCCAGCACTTTGGCAGGCAGAGGCGAGAGGACTGCCTGAGTCCAGGGGTTCGAGGTCAGCCTGGGCAACTTGGTGAGACGTCATCTCTATAATACGTCAAAAAAATTAGCCAGGCGGGGTGACGCATGCCAGTGGTTCCAGCTACTTGGAAGGTTGAGGTAGAAGGATCACATGAGCCCAGCAGGTCGAGGCTGCAGTGGCTGTGAGCATGCCACTGCACTCCAGCCTGAGTGACAGAGTGAGACTCCTACTCAAAAAAATAAATAAATATGATCTAAGGTCCCATAGGAGGCACACAGCAGAGAAGGGTTTAAGCCCAGATCCAATGTCTGATTTCAAGCTCAACCCCACTGCTTTTACATCCAGCTGAGGCACCCTCAGCCAGTCACCTGCGTGACCCTTCAGCACCTGGGTGAGGCAGAAAAGATCAAAACCACAGAAAGGAGTTGAGCAGCTGTGTCACTGGTACCAATTCCTGTTCCCCATGGAAAGCAGATCTGACGCCTGGGTCCTGGGTTAGGAGGCGGGGACCTGAGTCCTGGTTTTAGTATGGACTCCATTGTGTGAGTCAGGTAGGCCACTCCACATCTCTGGACTCAGTTTTAACATCTGCAAGACGAGTAGCCTGAACCTTAAGATCAAAGTCCACCGTGACTCTGCCAGCTTCTGTGTCTGAATGAATAGGCTGATAGAAGGCTTCAGGGCAGAATGACGTGCCTCCCACAGAATCTACACTGGGGGTCACAGCTGATGTGCAGCTTGTTCGGAGGACATCTACAGAGGCAGAAGCACACAGCATATTCTGGGTATGGGGTGGTCATAACTCCCTCTGCTCCCAAACTGCCACTATAATGTCCTCCAGACCCTACAGCCAGCTCCTCCTGGGTGCTCAGTTACCCCAGAGTATGAGGAGGAAGTCATGAGACCTGGGTTCATGAACCAGCTGTAGGAACCAGGCAGATGAGCTCCCTTGACCTCCTTGTACCCCTAAGTCAGTCCACATGGGAAGAGGAGTAGGGACAGTTTACTGGAACCAGAGTGGAGAGACAGAATCACCTAGCCAGGCATTTCCCAGACTGTGCTGAAGAACACGCCCCAGGAGACATTAATGGATGAATGCTGGAAACGGATGAGTCTGATAAAAACAATTCAGATCCCTTCTTGGAAATTCACAAGGCACAATGGCAAATCCGGCCTCTGAGAAGCCCTGTGTAAGCAAACCTGTTTGACTTTGTTTAACCCAGTGTTTCTTCCCACTTAAGCCTGAAACACTTTCATCAAGGCACGCCTATTAATATCCTGTGGGATGCCGATCCAGGCCCTTTTGTGTTACAGATAGATCCAACTCTGAGAATAATCCATGCCCTAACTCCTCATCTTAAAGCCCCTGTTTACACCCAGTCCGCGCCTCAGCAGTCACGTTAAGTACCAACATGCCCCTCACTCTCAGAAAGTCAGCGCAGGGCCAGATCCTCTTCAAGGGTCCTCCCACCTCTCCCAGTTCCCAACAGCTGCAGTTATAACCTCCTTGATGAGTTCTACTGCTAAGGGCTAGGGGACATCTCCAGCTAGCACAGAACCAGGAAACAGACAACCCTCGCCTAACCGCTCTGTAATGGGGCCAAGTACACATCATTACATACAAGACGGAGGGCTCATTTTTATCTTCCTCCCCTCCAGGCACCCCCACTGTGGACTTCTGAATATTGTTTCTACTTCAAAACAGGCCCCACGTTTAGGCCTAGAATCCCAGAATCTTAGAGTTGGAAGAGTCTGTCAAAGTCATTCCTTCCAGTGTTCCCAATAGAATAGGTCCAGAAGGCCATTTCATGGTCAGCCGTATTGTTAGCAGAACTTCTTTGCAGAGAGTTATGTGAGTGGCCACCATGTGCTCTTCCCAATTCAGCCCTCTGAAAGCACCCGAGTATGTGTGTCCCTTCTCTGCGGCTTTTAGGACGGGGCTTCTGCTCTTTCTGAAGGGTCCATGATGAGAAGTTTTGGGTTTGGTGGGCAGTGTCTGGCTAAGGCCCCCATTTCCAGGGGAGGAGGCCGAGCTGAAGTGGCTATTACCCCAGCTCATGATAAGAGGTTCTTCCAACCTGCCATTATCTCTCTGATGTGCTCGTTTTTACGAGTGAGGCCCTTAGGTCATGGCACAAGAAGTCAGAGGAAGGCAGGACCCCCTGTGTGGTCCCGCCCCTTCCTTATACACTTATAAAGTGTACAAGGAAGCACTTTATAAAGTGTTCTCAGGCCTTATGACTAGAGAGACAGGGAGAGCAGGCAGGTATGGAGGCAGTATGGCTGCCCCTTTGGCTGGCCAGAGCAGCCCCAGGAAGCACCTGGCTCCCCTGCCACCGCTGGCCAGAGGCGCCAGCTTTGAAACCAAAGCTCACCAGTGATATGAATATTTCAGAGCCCAGAGAACTGGACACCTGAGGGCCCTTCCATGATATCTGGCTTTGACCCTGGTTCCCAGGCCTACCTCCCACTTCTCCCACGTCTAGGGTACTCAGGCCAAGCCCCAAAAGCCCCGGAGGCCACACGGAGGCCACGGAGGAGTGAGAGGGGATAGAGATCCCACAGGTCAAGAACCGGGGCAGAGCGCACAAGGTCAGGCCCAGCCTCCCAGCAGCCTCCCTGTGCTTCCTCCCACGGTTCCCTGGCTCGCGTCCCAGCCTTCTCCTCTTGCTTTCCCTTTTCCCATTTCCCTGCTTTGGTTTTACTCTGACTCAAAGAGGTCACGAGAGGATGGCACTTCCCTGTAGCCTTGTGAATCCAGCTTCCAGCTTGGGGGGCGGTGGCTGGAAGCAGGACTGGCTGAGGGCAAAGTCTTGGTGACAGAATGGCGACCTCCCCACACCAAGGACTTGGGCTGCTCACTGGCTTCCACATCAACTTCAAGCTAGGACCTCCGCGTCCCCCGCCGCTTAAACATTCACCTGTCTACCCGGTGACTGGCACCAGGGCATGTCCGGGCAACCTGGGGTCAGGACTGGGGCTGTCTCCCCTCTTCTTCCCCCTAGCTGAGAGCCCTGAAAGCCCTCATCCCACACACAGCTGGCCATCCTGGGGCTGGCCTGGTGGACCTGCCCTGCGACAGACAGGTCACCCGCGCCCGTAAAGGGAGACGCCAGGACACCTGGCCGGTTCAACATGCTGCTGCTCGGCTCCCAGAGCCAACCAGGTGCCACCCGCCCACCGCGGGCGCGCAGGGCAGACGGACCCCCCCACCCACAGGGCAAGAGATCCCCACGCTGGCGCCAGCTCCTCGGGCGGGAGCAGGCCGGCCCCAAGCCCCGTCCC